CCAAAACCTAATTTTAGAATTTGTATTTCCTCGATGATCCCCCTCGAGAAATACCACCTACGATATCGAATTCCGGATTCGAAACACAAGGAAAAACCTCTCTATTTCATAAATTTCACCGACTGACGGGAGGTATGAATGATGCAATAAGCATTTTAAATGCATAGTCCGTATTCTGGACTGACAATGCGGGCATGAATAAGTTTTTGTACCAGACAGGGGTTATATAGGAGAGAAAGGAGGGGATAAAAGGGCGGCTGTCACACGGGCTTTTGTGCACCCTTGACCCCTCTTTTTACTCCGAGATGACACCCTCCTTAAATTCCCTTTATGCCTCTCGCATTCTTGTCTCGACCTCCATTTTCTTTCCTTCCCTTCGCGAAACACCGAGGCGAGGAAGCGCCATGAAATTCACCCAGGTCTCGATCCGAGATGAAATGAAGAGAGGTTAATGCAGTGTGTCGGAATAGGGAAGTGGTGGACATGGTGGAAACGCGGACGTTTATGATCCATTCCCGCCTTGATTTACCACTCACACCTCCCGCTACCTCAGGAATGCTCGCCTCCGACGCCACACACCTGCTCGGCTCTCTTCTGCTCTCCTTCTTCGTACGAACACGAATAGCCTCGTCTCCTCTCGTCTTGCCTTTCTCCGGCTGATATCGGAAAGAGAGAGCGCTAAGGGAGAAAATTTATGCCATGTGGTGACTAGCTACCATTGAGGAGGGACAAGGAATTTCCCTCCTTGAATAGGGGCCTTTGCCTTGGGAGAGAGAGTAAAAAGGCATTGTCCGCTCCTCCTGATTAGCTTGACATTTTGTCCGACTTCAAAGGTGACAAAGAGCTTCGGACAATGAATATATTTCTCTTGGGGCACAAAAGCCAAGGAAAATGGTCAGTCAATCTGGACAAAAGCCCCCCTGCCAAGGGGGGAGTGCCATCACCCTGTTTCCGGTCCTCCCTCCTCCTCTTCCACCGTCTCTTTGGAATTTCAAAAGTCTTAGCCAGGGTTGTCAGAACCTGGAAATGGAATCTCATTCAAACGCATTCTTTCTTTTGAGGAGGGAAGGGAGCTAAAGGAAGGAAAAAATTCCAGAGGGGTGGGGGTGGTGGTTTGGAAAAGGGGGCGCCAAGCAGACTGGGAGATTCGTTTGTTTTCCCTTTCCCCTCCTCAGTGGTCCTTATCTCAATCAGATAACGACACGTTCCTGGGACGAGGGAGAAAAAAGGGTTTGGAGATTTTCCATCTAGTCGGCGGAATGCACGTGAGCTCCGGTCGGACCATCAACCTAGTCAGGAATAGAATGTCCTCTTTTGTATTTCCTATATGCAGAGAGAGAGAGAGAGAGAGAGAATAATGGCAGTCCATGAAAGCCAGAGTTGTCAATTATTTAATTGACATAGCCTACCGCTGTGACATACGGATGACAACCTTTCCCTATAATTTGCGAGAAATCTTTCGATCTTTTCCCTCTGTGCAATGGGCAGGGCCGGAATGTCTAACGTCTGTCTGAGCCTCGCTGGCTTGTCATGCATTGTGAAGACCCCCGTCCTAAATCATTCATTTACTGTACACAAATATGACAGCAAGAACTTGGAACGAGCATACTTCTAATTATTTATAGGATCACACATTCACTCATTTTACATATACGTGGTAATGATAAACTATAATGACATTACCTTTCAGAGAAAAAATTCCCCACTCAATACTGAACTCCCCCTACTTAAGAGTTGAGGTTGGATTTGCGGGCTCCGGCTGCGTTCAAACCAGAGAAACTCAGTGAAACGGAGCTCAAAATCGCAATACGACTTTTGTTTCTTCAAATCTCTGTACTGGGTGTCCTTTGGCTGTTCCCTGTTCTCTTTCCCGAGCACATGTCCCATGTCGAGATGTCCTTTCTTGCCTCTTCTTGCCCTTTCTTTTCGAACCTTCATCTTTCTCATAATGATGGTTCTGTTACCACTCGTAATCGGAGGCTTTTTCCATGTCCCAAAAAGACAACTCCGAAATAGGTTTACACACTGCAGGTCTTCAATTATCACGTTTCCTCGCCCTCTAATCAAATCGGTTTCGGTTCAACGTGCCGATAACCAACCGGTATTAGTCTCGAGTTACTCCTCGATCGGTTTAACATTTTGGACGTTCGAAAAGCATACCCTGCAAGAAATTTACCGGAAAACTCGATTCTCTGCCTCGTGCGACCGAATCACAATTTCTTTGAAACGCCGATTTGTCAGAGTCGAACGAATCGATGGAATGCAACTTCCCCTTCGACGATGAAAAAGTCGCCGCCGAATCAATGCTCTGGCGTCGAAGAGTAAACAGAAAATATCACGGAGATTACACTCGTTCTAACAGGTATTCTATAGAAAGTTAGAGCGACGTCATCGAGGAGAGCCTTCCAGGCTTCGATCCTTCGCTTTCCGAGCTGTGAAAAAAAAGTTACGAAAAATATAAATAACTGAAATACAGGACTCCATGGGTCGGGAAGGGAACTCGTTCGGGCTTCCCCGTCCTTGGATTTCCCATTCCGAAGGATTACATTCAAATTAGACTGGACGGTATATCCGTATATCCATGACCTCACTCCTCGTTTCCCTTTAGATTTCACGGTCACGGTCGCAAATAAATATTGATTACAAGAGGACGTGCAAGGCCTTCCAATCGAGGGAATGGAAGGGAAATCAGTCTGAGAAACGGAAAATAGTTTTAACGTAGACCATAATATATACTAATTCTATCCTTTGAAACGGTTGTAGTTTGTGAAATTTCTTTCGAACGGGAAACTGTTCTATCTACAAATACCACCTTTCCTCGCTTACAAGAGGACATTCACGAGAACCTTCCAAAACTAAGATCGAAATCCTTCTTTCCTCACTGCCTTCTAAAAGATCATAGCAACAGTATTGTGCCGAAGACGCACACAACAACGATTAAACTGGTTTCAACTTTTATTCGGTCCTTGAACGATACGGGAGAATAGAAAATTGAGGTAACATTTGAGAAGACTCCTTTGCTTTGATGAAGCCCAACATGGCGTGGTCACACTAGAAAAACCAAAAATTCAAGGACCCGTGCTTTTGCGGGAAATCGATACTTCAACGAGTTCTTGCTTGAATTATTTTTTTTTTAAAGCATACGTGGAGGGGAAACTGCAGCCGTACGGGAATGCCTCACGGAATATTACTACGTTCGGCAAGGAACTCATGATTGGATGATTCGTTCGGGAAAAAGTGGTTGCTCTCGAGTGCTGAATCAACTTCACACCCCCTTCTTTGTTTCCTGGAGTCACAATCGAAAGAGAAGTGAAGGAAACGAGAGAGAAAGAAATAGTGGAGGACACTCTGACAGCTGCCCGCGCATTCATGGACTGTTTGACTTTAATTTAACCGCCCTGGATAGGATGGCCTTATATGCTAGTAACCATCTGTTGAGGATTCACTCCCATAGTCCTGTATGTGTTTGTTTTCCCACAATGTGCGACTCGTCAAACCTTCCTTCCTGTTTCCTTATTCAACGTTCCCGGGAACTTTTCTCTCCTTTTTTTTGCTCTCTGGCTTTGGCCTCATGGGCTTTGTGAAGCTTTAATTGAGTTGTTCCAATACAGAGAGGTTTCTTCCATTACGAGTTCGCTTTGTCCGCGTTTAATTGAATGCTATGAAGAGAGAAAACTCACAGCACTCTCGCTTTACTTTTTTTTTTTCAATGCCCGCTTCCGCTCTCTTTCTGAACAATTCCATTGAATTCCTTCATTGGAAAAAGGTTTTTTTTTTTTCTCTTGCTTCCCTTCCTCGCAACTTCTTTCACCTCCTTTTCTGTTGGGAAAGCTCCAGGAGAACACACACAGAGAGGGACTAGAACGGCATGCGAAGGAGCATGACTTTCAGATTCTTTCGGGATTTGAGAATAGGGAAACAAGTGGTGCAGGACAATCTGCTTTTCTTGTTTTGTCTATCGGGCGACAAAATGAGTGTCGAGGATGAGTGGATGGAGAGCGAACCAGGAAAATGGGGAAGCCCGCCGGGAACGACAGAATCGATGTCGATCGTGCTTAAAACAGGCACAGAAACGAGAGAGGCGAGAAATTCCCGGCATCCTGGGAACGCCGTGATGCTAGAAGAAGAGAAATATTCTCCGGAAACGAGGGCACGTTTCCAGGAAGAAGAAGGAGGAGGAGGAAGGGAGGAGATGGGAGGAGAGAAATGGATCGCCCGAGGGGATGGCCAATGAGAAGAAAGAGGACAGCCCTCTGGCCTCGCCTCCTCCTAGACTGCCAGTCTCCACTCACACCCCCATTATCTTCCTCTCTTCCTCAAGAATAGGCACCAGCTTAAACCCACTCTCTTTGCTTTGTTATTCGCCACGCCATCCCATCCACAAAGTTGTGCCCAGGTGAGTCGAATACCGTACATCGTGTCGATATCCGTGGTGCCGATAAGATTCCTTATTTCATATTTGTGACAGGCTTTCCGAGCGGTCGTACTATGAATTATGTTCATGCGAATTTCATGCAGGTTTTAGACTCTAGCGCATGATAATGGATAGTTCAATAATGTCACATGGGGCATTTCCATATTGTGTTAAAATGATCAAAAAGCCTATCCATGCGTCCCTCCTTGCAAACCGGGTCGTCGTCATAACTGATAGGTCTGCTTGTTACGCTTCGGGAATCTTTCATCTTCGGCTATCTGGACGAGAAAATCATGGACCTGATAAAAATGTAAAATTCAGCTCCGCTACCCCACTAAAGATGTCATCATAAGTTATTGCTTCATCCCTCCCTCTGTCCTGCTAAGATAACAAGATGACGAACTTGCAATATTAATGCTCATAAATTCAAGAACCTTCGTTGTGCATCTTGGACACCTGTCAGGAGCCGCGTGGCTATCGATAAACCGACAGAACCGGCATGCAAATTTGATGCGTCAGAGAGTGCTTTACGTGCAAAATAATATTGGTTCGGGCTGTGGCGATCCAGGTGCGACGGTGATTCGTGCGTCCGATCGAATGGTGGTGCTGGGAAAGATGTGCCAAGAGGGAGTGAGCATGGGATTCGTCGGTGGGTCTCATCCCCATCATCCTCATCCTCATTCGCAGCCGATGAAGAAGGAAGAAAACGAGCACATCAAGAGGCCGATGAACGCCTTCATGGTCTGGTCTCGGCTCCAACGGCGCAAGATCGCTCAGGAAAACCCGAAGATGCACAACTCGGAGATCTCCAAACGACTCGGTGAGGAATCCAAAGACAAGGGGAAAGAATTTACGAGAGAATGGCCCCCTGGGGACCGAGAGCCGGAGAACAATGATATGATATTTCAAGGACACCCCTTCCGACACCCTTTTTTTATTTTTTGAGGTCCGGGGGTCCAGCCATAAACCTCCAGCTAAGCTCCCATCCACCTAAAAATAGCTGGGGGAAAATAATAGAGCTAGGGTCATTGGAGGGCCCCGGGGCAAAGAACAGGGTGATGAGAGGTAAATGCCCCCTTTCCTAAAACTCCTTCACCTTTACCACTTCGGGCGATAGAGGGGGGAGGGGTGGGGGTAGGGGGGGTGAGGAAACCGATCCGAGAACTCAGGCTGCACGAATGGGCATATAATTCGAGAAAAAATGGGGCAAACGTTAAAATTTCGACCGGGGAATGAGCGAACTCTGCATGTATAAATGGGGTCCTGAGAGCTGAGACTTCCATCGATCTATAGAAAGGAGACTACGATGATATGAAACTAAGGCCCTGAACGCCACGTGACATAATTCACCTGTAGCTCTCCATAGTTCAACAAGTTTTTTTTTTCGCGTGTTTCGAATTCATTTTCCACTTAACAGGAAAACGAGAAGTAGCAATTGGCCCGTATGGCCCCAAGGCTGCATTTCCCCCCTTTGTCCACTTTTCCGTGAAGTGTTCACATTAGCATCATCCACTACCTATTCTATAGAACGAAAATCGGCAATCATAACAAGATAATCTCATAACTGCTCATTGAAGGATATTGATTGGTATAAAATGCGTATGACAATACCATGCGTACGACTTCTAAGTGCCAAAAAAACTCTCCCAGTTTCCTCACGCTTTTCTACGTGCGATTCCTGTTGGGCTTTCATGTTCCATAAGGTCAATTATCAGAATTTCGACTCGTAAGGTCTGCAGTGTTCCCCTTCCGCAGACGGCGGGCTCGACCGTCTGATTTCTCTGTGCTGATTTCGGACTCAGTCGTCTGTTTACGTGTACGGAGTTCCTAGAGTTAGGAACTCTGCCCGTGTTAATGTACCTTGAACCACGATACAATTCTCTTTAAAAGTTACGAGACGAGGTCACTGGTTAGCTCGACCTACCGTTCAGATACCCATCTTAAATATGAGTTATGTCAGGGTTGCTAGGTTTAACCGAAGATAAGCCATAATGGCCGATACGCAAAGCTTTTACGATAAGTATTTTAACACCATCCTGAGATAGAGTGACGGATAAATCCTGGATTATTTGCCCCGAAAGCTGGCCGTCCTCAAGCGTACGACATCCCTTTGTTGAGCGTCAGGGCTTTGGCGCAAAATCGACAGCAGTTGGTTGCACGTAGGGGAGAAGAAAACCTGTAGAAAATTGAATTATGCATCTTGTCGATAACCATTGTGATGCGGTTCGTGGAGTCACCTCGAGACGTGACACGGACAATATATTTATCGATGTCGTCATGGGAGACGTATGTATAGGCAAGCGAAACGAAAGAGAAAAAGAAAAAATGACGGTTTGGAAAAGACGGATGGGGAAAACCCGGCCGACGAGCCTCCTGAAGGTCTGCTAGTCCCGCTATTCTCTCCGGCTCTCTTGCCTCCCACGAGTGCAAACTCGGTCCAGATGGAAATGGGAATGGAATCAATCCATTCAATATAGAACAGAGGGGGAAAGCAAAGAGAGGCATTCAATGGATTGTATGTTCATGAGAAAAGGGTTGAAGCCAAAGAAACCGGAAATAGATTGGATGGGCGAAGGGAGTCTGCTATTTCTCATTACCCACTTTCTCCATGCATTCGGAAGACCCTTTCTTCATTCTTTTTCTCCTTCCCCCTTTTTTGAGGATGGAGGTGGCTGGCTATATAGGATTGTGCCTATTGTTTCCGATCCAGCCTAATCCCTCGATCCATCACCACCACATTCCCCCCTCCCTCGAGTCCCTCCCATTCTATACTTTGAAGGGAAGAAAAGGGAGAGGACAATGAAAGAGGAGAGAAGAAAAAGAAAAAAAGACACCTGCTAGCTTCTTGCACGGTGACTCGGCTTCTTTTTTTTTTTTGCCCCCTCTCTCCTTGAAAATGTCAACACCACACAACGCCCCTATGGTTACCTCCGGCACCAAAAACATACCACCCCCGGTAGAAGCATTTGCCGTATGATCATGTTGGATATTTCACGATCAAGGTGCGGAATGGAAGCGACTGAGCGAATCGGAGAAGCGACCTTTCATCGACGAAGCGAAGAGGATCCGAGCCCAGCATTTGATCGATCACCCGGATTACAAGTATCGGCCGCGAAGGAAGAACAAGCCCCCCAAGGCTCCTTATCCAATCCCCTATCCTCCCATCGATCCCGCCGGTGAGTCTCATCAAAATTTCCGTCCGATGAGGGTAGTCAAGGATATGAGGTCACCCACTAAAAGGGATCCACCCATGTTATTTATAATGGTAGGACGTGACTTATATTCCAGTTATTTGCTAAATAGAAAGTGTAATGAAATATTTTGAATAGCACCACTTGTCAATGAGGCGGGTATTACCTTTATGATGGAACGGTTTTTTTTTAATATATACATTAAGGTGAGGTAATCTTCCGGACGCTTTTCGAAAGTCACCATCCACTTTGAGTAGCTCTAACCCTAGAAATGGTATGGTAATTACGTAAATACTTAAAACCGCCGAGCGGCAGTCCGGAACGAACTGGAAAGCGTGTGTGCGAAAAGAAAATGAGGCGTGCGGTGACCACGACGGTCTCGGACCACCCTCGAGTGACAGATGACGAATGAGAAAAGGGATGTTAAAAAATGTCTTTTGGTCCTCTGATGCGTAGGATTGGCATCGATGGCGTCGTACGCAGCAGGAGGTTACGCCGCAGCGATGGCAGCCGCCTACGTCTCCACCGCCCATCCTTATTACCACCACCACCCACCCGGTGGACAAGTCGGTCGATCGGTCGCAGGGGGAAGCAGCGAGAACAAAGGGGAGGAAAATAAGGGGATTCCGACCGCGACCGCCACCCCCGCCTCCATGTTCTACCCGGGGATGCCTGCTGGGTATTACCTCTCCCAAGGATCGCAAGACACCGGCGGAGATCCTCACAAGGGTTACCAAGGTGCATTCCAACCCACCGGATCCTGGCCCGGCATGCATGCCTACCCCGGGTTCCCCACCAAATTCCCTCAGGACAAGACCGCGGTGAATCCCAACAATCTGAGCCCTCTCTCGCTCCTCTGATCCCCGGCTGTCTGTGATTCTAACGGCAAGAACGATGCAGGGATTCGTGATGGAATGCCCGTTCGGTCCATGCGATTCACATTCCTTTAAGCTTAAGGTGTGCCGTGTCGTATCGTAATCTCGACTGCGTGTTTTTCTCCCCGTTGCAAGATGCTTCCCCAGAGTTGTTCCTAAATAAATCTCCCTTCGTTTTATAGCCCGGGCCGTGATTGCTTTCGGGCACCCACACAAAGGAAGAACGAATCGAAGAAAACAAAGGGCGAGAGAGGATTTTAATTCTCGGATCCGAAGGGGGGCCTTCGAGAAAGGGGTTGAATTCGGTGCTGATATCTGGGGGGATGCAGTGGCATTCAAAAGACCCCCGATCCAACAATGGGGGGAGAATGAGAAAGCAAATAAAGGGGGGAGACGGGACGGACCAAGTAGCATCAATCAAATGACACGCCAACAATGTCACCTTCCAACAATGGCTGGCCTTTGTCCTCCCGATGAACGCAGCATGACGCCGACACAAAAACGACGGGAAATGATATCGGCCGAAAGAAAAAGCAAAAAAAGCAGAAAAAATACATATAAAAGAAGAGAGAGAGACAATGGATGCATGGGGGATGAAAAAGAAAGAGAAGGTGTACATATTATGTGCCGGTATCGATGCAACTCCGACCGAAGGACTCAAACCGCAACTGTATATCGAAATGCGTACCGCTTCTCGCGGGGATGATTTACGAGCGACACGCCCGAGGAAAAAGGGAGACGTCGCAGGGGACTTGGGGTCTCCGACGTGAGGCATGATGGGGGGGGAGGGACAAAAGGGTAATTAGGGTACCCTTTTTCTTATTCAAAAGGAGAGGAAGACAGTGAGACGGGGAGGAAATCCGGAGTTTCCTGGCCATTAGGCCAAAGGTCCTTGTGAAACCGTTAAATGACACGGAAACTATCTCCTTTCACATATTTCCTCCACTCCACTGTCTCCGCGTCCTTTTTTTTCATTCTTTTTTTTATCGTCTGTCCATACGAGAGACGCCCCCCGAGTTCGGACGCGGAATCTCGAGTCCGAGGGCGATTTCGTGATCTCCGCGTGGCTTTCGAGCTTCGTCTCGGCGATATCCGAGGGAAGACGAGGCGATTTTCGAGAGACTCGGACGGCCCGAGTCCCTGCCAATCCGATGAGAGTACCGTCGATCTTCCAGAAAATATTGCAAGGGAGGGCTATTTGCACGAGGAAAAAGGGAAAGGAGAGAGAAAAAAGCGAGCACCGAAGAAAGGGCCTGAAAAGTCGTCGAAAGAAGATAGTTGATGATTCGAGAAAGGGGGGGGGGGGCCTTACATGTATGTGATTTGCATACAGAAGACATCTGCCATGAATGCTCCATTAGTCCCATTACCATGCTCCCCTCTTCTATTATCTCCTCCTCCAAGGGCGGACTTCACCGTGGCAAATCCATTTCTCCGCTCAGGAGAATATCCCTCTCCGACGCACTTTATTAACTCGGGCGTTCGAATCTTTCCTCGCCGATTTCGCATCTCGGTATCGGGGAACGAGGCTCCGAAAGGAAGAATTTCCCGAAAAAGGCTCCGAGATGAGAGCCATACGATCGTGATCGATGACTTCGCAAAAAAAGGAAGTTTCACGAGAGAAGTTTTCTCCCTGATGCCTCGAGGCACTCGACAATTTTTGGGAAAGACCTTTCGTCGCGTACCGTTCGTGTACGCAACTGCATGTCTGCGCCCTCGATGCTACGACCATATATCTACGTTTCCGTAGTTGGCGATTGCTAGATCACGCAGACACACTTCTGTGAGCCCTCTCACCCACTCTCACTCCCTCCCACCCCCTCCCACCCCCTCCCACCCCCTCCCACCCCTCCCGAGGTGAGAATCCTCTGCCCCTCATGGAGCGGTACCTGGGTCGGTTGTGAAACCGCTGCAAGAAAAATGGCACGAGGGTGAGGATGAGTGTTTGCTCCCAGTCGTTAAAGGAGTCTAAGAACGAAAGAGAAAGCAGACAAGAATCGTGATGTTGGGACTCGTGCAGTGCCGTGCGAGAATCCCATCCATTAAAATATTACTTGGAATCGTAATTCGAGAGAATGTCCAAGAAATCGGAGCCCTTTTCTCCTGAAACTTTGAATCCTGAAAAAAAAAGGACTCGCACGTGGTCCATTCCAGCGTGCATTTTGCTCGGTTCACTCGTGATGTGCTTTTCGTATCGAATCCTCTCCGGTAACGTGTTTCTTTATCGGAAAACTCGCTTTCGAAAAGGTGGAACCATGAACTTCTCTAATTTATGAATGGACTCGACGATGTCGCGAGAACACGGAGGATTCCTTTCTCGTGGTGTTAATTACTGTGCAAAATAGTTATAAAAATGTAGTCAGCCATCTGTCGACGAGTTCAAACTTTCGTTAGCCATGTATTATTCTCAGGTACATTGCGATACGCAAGGTCGTAGTGGAGCCGAGACTCGAAGTGAAATTTTAGTTCTTTTCTAGATGGCTTCAGACTGTCGAGCCGGCTGATCGAGGGGTTAAAAATGTGGAGCCTGCAAGTGAACACTTCCGAGCCTCATTATAGCAGTGGTTCTGAAACTTTTGACGTTGCGACCCCCTAGTGATTCCGGTTCGGCGTCAGTACTCCTCTCTCTGAGAGGAGTACCTCGAAACTGAATTCACCGCACGGATGCTTTTTCCATACGATGATCGAAAATATAGGAAACGGATCGCAACTGTTCGGGGACCGGGTCACAGGGACTGGGTCATTCATGGGAATCGGATGATCGTTCGCCTAATTTAATGAGAACGACGCTCGCATGCTTCTGGATCCACGGAAGATCGAATCCGGACAGGATGGTCACAATAATGGCGCAAATAGAATTTTCGCAGACTTGACCGAGAAACGTCTTCGGAAATTTTGGCCTGTCGCGCCCCCTCTGAGGCCCCCCCCCCCCCCTCCCAAGTTTGAGAATCCTTGCATTTGGATAAAAGTAATGGCGAAAAAGAAACTCGAAAACAAACATGACCTATATTTCCTCATGACGTTCGTTAAGAATGTCCGACATTTTTCATCTGATCCACTTTCGTCGCATGACACCATAAAACTGCGCTGAAATCACGGGATTCTTGAAAATTCGAAAAAAAATGGCGCCGAGGCGTCAACACGAAACGAGAAGAGACGATTACCATCTCATTAACGACCTTCGCGGAAGGCAAACGAGTTCGGGCGGGGAAAAAGCACGAGAGAAATCCAGACCGAACCTCAGCCTCGTTTCGTCGCGTCGAATGCGATTCTTGGCTTCCGTTTTTCAGCACATACGTCGTTTTTCCCCGTCCGAAACGAGAAGGCGCTTCGTTCCGGTCCGTTCAAACGTTTCCACTTCTGTTTACATCGGTTTTCTCATCGGAATACTTGGATGCGTTCTCATTCCCACTTGGTATTTTAATTAGACCGATCGATCGATATTCTTATCGAATTCCGAAAATCATTGCTATCATTACGTTTTCTCGAACTGTTGCCAATGGAAAAAAAAAAACAGAAAAAAGTAAAGGATATCTGACTTTGCGATGAGCCAATTGGAGTCGAAAAAACCTAAAAAGCATTTCTGGCATCATTATTTTGTCTTCTGCAGCTATTGGCGGTTTCAATGAACCCTGCCCCGAATTGAAAATGAAATGCATTGGAATCATTGAACGCTTTTGGTTTTGAAACGTTATCGAAAGAGTCGACAGGAAACATCGATAATCGTCTAGAATCTATACAAAAATACTTAAATTATTCGGAAAGTGTCACCGAGCGATATTCGTCTTCATTTTCAACAAAAACATTTCCTGGAAACAAAATTTCTGGGATTTGCGCTCGTTCACAATTCTATTCTTTCATATCAATATTCGAACGGCAAAAATGATACGATTACCGATCCATACCATGCGATCGGGGAATATCGGATTTACTCTCTTTTCGGAGAAAGTTTTTTGCAGTTTCACGAATTTTAAAGCACCATTCACATCAGTACGAGTCATGCTGAATTACTCAGATCCTTGTTCTGTTCACAGCCGAGACATGGAGAAAAGCCAACAGGTCTTGTTAGGTCCTACGATTTCCCGTCGTCACTGCCAGGAAATCGAGTCGAATTCGAAATAGTTTTCTCTAATTACGATGTTTGCAGAGATTTTCGCGAAGTTGAAACTAACCGGGGTGTGGTTCCGCCTTTGAGACCACTTTTTGTTGGGTAAATAATAAAAAAAAGCAAAGTCAGGGGGATAAAGGGGACATGAGCCTGCGGAAGAGGATGCCTATAGGAAAGGCCATTAGGGTTCCTTTTTTCGAGGTATGTATGGTGTGTGCATTGAGAGTGAAAAATTGCTCCATGATCATGGCAAAGGGGAAAAAAGGAAGGTCCTGATAAATTGCTCTCCAACGATGCATTGGGCCCCGGGAACATTGTGATCCTTTCTATCGACAACCATCAAGGCTTCTTCTATACATCATGCGGGATCCTTCTATCAACCATTATCTCCCGTTGTCTATCCCCGATGTGCATGCGGCCGGGTAATAAACATTTCCCGATCCGAGCAGATCCTCCCCAGTTTTTAAATTCTGCCGATGAAGCCCGTGACCGTGCAGAAAGCTTCCGTTCGGAGAGATTCGAAACGAGATCGATGCGGACTTCTGTACCGGGGGAAAAACCCGAGGAGAACGAGGATTCTTATCAGATTAAGGCAATGGCGATGCAAGGGGTCTATGGTGGGCGAACGAGCGCTCAGAATGCAATTGTCTCGCACAGAGGCAGTGCAAGAGGGGGGCATACAAGGAGGATGGTTCTCGATTGTGGAGGAGGAGAAAGGTGGGAGATGATGACCGAGGGTGGTCTGGGATGTTTCCCAGGATCCATGTCCATTGTTTTCTATTGACACTATAGAAGAGACACTCGGCAGGAGGTCGATTCGCTTCTCTTCACCCTGTATCGGGCTGAACCACCTAGCGTTGAAGTCCCTCCGGAATCC